GTAATTTTACGTAAAAATTTCAGTTACAAAAAGTTCTAAACACTCTAAGAAAGGAAACTCCGCGTAAATCAGTACCAGATTGCTAAATTAAAAAAAAAATGAAGAAATCACAGGTATTATCAATCCCCGATCCGTATTGAAACGTACTCAAAAAGTGCACATCTTTCGAATTCTGGACCCCAGTGATCAATTGAAATTAGCAAGGACTCTAAAAACTCTACCGTTTTTTGGGCGTTCGCTTTGTTTTTACAACTCCAGCTCTGAAAATGTAACTATTTAGTAACTGCTGCTGATAATAAAGCTTCTAAAAGTTTAAAAAGTTTCAAAGAACTTACAAATTATTCTTCTTCTGCCCCTTCTTTCGTCTGAGCGGCAAATAGACGTACGGTTCAAACTTAGCGCCCTTCTTCCTGACGTCTCCTCTCGCTTTCCTCGTCTTAGCAGTTCTGCGGCTACCACTTACTACACCTACATTCGTGTCTCGATGAATTCCCTTACCACCTGGCTTATACTTGCGAACTTCTGACTGAAAATACAACGGACATATAACTAACAGCTTACAACTCTTTTCAAAAGATACCGGACGCTATAAAACAACACTAAGGAAAAACTTCTATTGACGCACAGGAGTGTATCTCCTGTTAAATTATCACCTTGACAAACGCCTCATCGTCGCTCTCTCCCAGATCGTCTTCGCTTTCGTCATCTTTATTAATATCATGCGTTTTATGCTTCTTATCTGCACTTAAATTGTCATTTGAACCAAGTGGGTCTTCATCTCTTCGTCTTTTCTTTCCCCGATTCGAAAGTTCGTCAATGTCGTTTATTACTAGACGACCGTCTTTAGTTAGTGTAAAAGGCTCTTTCTTTGTCGGTTCAGTCCTACTGTAAAAACTATTCACAATTCCACTATTATAATAAAATTAAAGAAGCAGCAAAATTATTAAGTTTTACAACGAAGTTGAGATTCAAAACTGTTCTAAACCCCTATCGAAGCAAATGGATCACAGAGATAAAATTACCTTTGCAAAAAGATCTGAATATCGAAAAATACCTTGAAATCTTCCTTGAAATAAACGGGTTTGTTGTGACCACGTGCTGGATAACAGTGTTTTTATCCAATAAATCAATCATTTCTTCTTCATCGTCAACTTTCAACCATATAGAGTTCGCTTTTGTACGTCCAGTTCTAGACTGAACCTCATTACCGTCCACAGAACTAACATCACTGCCTTAAAAAAAAAAGATTTTACAATAACGAGACGGCATTAGGCATACTTTTCAAGTAGGAAGATAAGATACCAGAATTTTCTTTATCGCTGTCCTCAAGCATATCCAGCACTGTATCTGCTGCAGCAGTACGAGCACTTGTTGTCGAAGCTGAAGGTACTTCACTACCATCCGCCTCCAGTAATTCACCACCGTGCGACGCTGTACTACCAGCAGCGATTCGATTTTGCTTCCGGCGTCTAATGTGAAACACGATTAGTAACCAAACTTTTCCAAGTAACATTTAAAAAACATCTTTTTATAAACAAATTTCGTGTGAAGAAATCCCATTAACTGGAAACCTGTTTAAATACTACCAATAAAAACCAAAATATGCGAAATCAAATTTTTAATTCAATTTTAATTCATTTTTAATTTCCGCACTTTAAAGGAGTCATGGCACAAGAAATAAACCACACAAAAAGCTCATTACAGGTAAAAACTGAATGAAAAAAAAGTAAACTTCAGCTTCTCAATGGCTTTCAACTGCTTTAGCCAACAAGGTTTATCAGTCTTCTTGGCAAGTATTTCTCCACCGATACGATCAACCAATGCTTCAAGCAAAAGTCTGTTGGCTTTGCGAACTTTTTGCGTTACATCAGGGCTTGATTGCTCGTCGAAGACCGCAGAGATAAGTAAGTCCTACAACAATACCGTTTGACATTTTAGCGTGACGCAAGAAAACCCTTCCCTTACCGCTGCAAAATAAAATATTTGAAGAACCATACTTTATATTGCTCAACCGTATAGTCAGGAAGTTTCTGAGTAAGAACTCGCAGCAAACGAATAACTAAAACTCGTACAGGTGCTCTTTCTTCCGAAATCCAACTACAACCATGAGCAATTACTCTGCTTATACTTGATGCATCCAAGACACGGATATACTTCTGAGCCAGTACGTTTAAGGCCACCATAGCTGACCTGAAAACTGTTAACCTGAACTGATGTGGCCGTGTATGAAAAAAACAACCTTATTTAAAAATAATTTAATTTACAAGAGCTGGATACTGATAGCAAAACACTTACCGAGCAACCTCTATTGGAATAACTCCTGAGGTTTCCCCAGATTTCGGTGTACACATACCATAAACCGTATCGAATATGGGAAACAAGACAACAGAAGGCCCTTGCCTGTGATAAAATCAAGAAAAATTCAGAAGTTGTTCAAGTATATTACTCCTCTTTAAAAACGTATGCCTCCCAGTTATAATCTTAAGACGAAATCTTACTCATGTTCAGCTCCAAGTAGTATGAGGCGGCGACACATTTCCACCAAGCACTGTACACTGACAGAGCGAGTACGAATACTGTGAGATTTATCCATACACATTACAACCCGAGGAAGGACAAGGTTACAAAACGACTTCAACAAATCCAATTTTTCAATATGTGAGATTTTAGTCAAAATGACAGCCAAATATGCACCACGAGCGCTTTGAGCGACAGAATTCAAATCCTCAAAACATGGAAAATAAAAAATGTAAGCTTAAAAACTTCAGTTGTTTTGCCAAAGAACATATAATAAAAAAGTTAAATTTACTTAAAGAATGAAATATACCTGTTCAATAATGTTATCAATTTCTTCTTCAAACTCCGCAAAAAACTCCTTCAGAGCAGGATCATCATAACGCTTGAAAATTTCTTCAAGTATACGAAATGCCTTCTTCTGTAGCTGTTGCTCCTCAGATTTAAACCAACAATGTACAGCAGTAAAAATACAATGCACCGTAGCGACATTCGCTGACCTTACTAACGCAGCAAGTAAATCAAGTACACACACCTAAATTATACGCTAGATAATTTTTCCTGAAACTATAAAGTGCCACAAAGATCAAAAATGATACAGACAAGAAATATTTCGTGTACAAAAAGTTAGCAAAAATTTTTTCGAGTTGCTGGAAAAAATATTTGTATAAATCACCTTCTTTAAAACAGGACTGTTATCCTTCTGCGCTTTCTCAATAGCAGAATTAGCGTATCTAGTGATTAAGTCATCTGGAGTCAACTCTATGTAAATTCGAACAGTTTCTAAAACGGCTCCACTAAAATCTTTCCAACTACTCAGCTCTTCGGGCGTCATAGAATCAACGGAAGTATACAAATTGAATAAAATAGGTAGGTAGTTCTTAGCAAAACGCTGCATCAATTCCTGAACCATTTTTAAATTCAGCGACAGCCAACCAACTAATAAAAAACAGAAGACTGAAGAAAAGACAGCAACAAACCACTCGTGTTTGAGGAGCATCAGGCTGCAAAGCGAAACGGAGTGCACTTCTCAAAGATGACAAAATTACCAAACGCAAATCTGGCCGCTCAGATAGGGCTGCACCCAGTATTGGTGCCAGCTCGGGAAAAGATTTTTCAAAATCAGTCGAAGAGTTTAAAAAGCTAGGCAGAAGCTCCCACAACTGTTTCTGAATACAAAGAAAAGAAAAATCACCCAATAAAAGCAAGTCAAAAGAAATTATAATAAAATGCATTAAAAAAAAACAACGCCCTCCTCAAATAAAAGATCTTTACGAAACGTTATTCTTGAATAAACGTGTAAAGCACCAAAAAAAAGAGAATAAGTATGAACAAAATACTAGTTAAATAAAAGCCATATCAGGGCGCAAAGAGAAAATTTCAACAAGCAACCTGCACTGTAGAATAAATTTTTGTCGAAAAAGAGTCCAAAGTCGCAGCTTTCTTGAAAAGTTTCACAGCCAATGGGAGAAAGAAACGCAAAAAAATTGAAAGAGGCGCGTTGCAAATATTCACTCGAAGTACTGGGATTAGCCAAGATTTTTTAAAATCAACCACTGTTGTTATAACATCAGGCTCAATATTCAGGGGTAAAGCGCGCAACACAGAGTCTACCCCGATGTAACGCACAGCAGCCCCAATTGCCTGAAAGTTTACACGTCACCTCGACTCCAGCAAGCAAGTTAACTTAAAAAAATAAATCTATAATAAAAGTAAGAGAGCGGCAAATTGATCCAAAACCATGAGAAATTCTAATGTTGCAATAAAAACGAATATGAATACTATAGCTTTCTAACTCAAAGCTTGAAAACAATTAGACAAGCTGTCCCTCAAACCACACTAAAATCAGTACCAAATCTAAATCGCCCTTGCAAGAATGATCATCCCTTTCCCGAAACTTCGCCATTGACTCCAAGACATTGTCCAAAACTGATCTTTCAATAACTTTACCGCATTCTTGAAATACCACACTGTCCGCACGCAATATATATCTCCATACAGTTGCACTTTGAAGGTTTAAAGCTTTATCGAGAAGGCTGATACACAAGGTTGCCGTGGCGCTGTGCGACTGCACACATCTTTCCACAATACGTTTCAGGACACCATAGAGAACCTGAAGCGTAGACACCTTACAAGTAAAGTTAGTTAGCTGCTTTCTTGTTAAAAAGTATTTTAAACTTATTGTAACCTCTGCGAGTCCGTGATTGCCGACGTTAAACAAAGCTATCAACATTTCCAATGTCTTTGGCAACAACTGAACACACTTTAAAGAATCTTTTGCGGTAAGGCAGACATGAGCTTCACCCAAAGCCTAAAAGATTTTGTTAGTAAACTAGGGATAGAAGAACGTCCCTTGTAAGTCACTAAACATAAAAGTGAGCAGTCGTACACAAATCTTACCTGTATCCAATACGCTGTAACTGCAATATCTCCGGAATAAGGCGCGCAGTCCCTTAGCGCAAGAATTAACTGCGCATTAACTTCAACAGGCAGAACAGTGTCAGACGGCTGATGCTGTAACATGCGATAAAGACACTGGCACGCAGAGCACTTCAACTGTGGATTATTTCCACTTAAAAAAAGCAAAATTGTTTCAGCCAACTGCTTGAAAGTATTCCCTGGCAACTTATGCATTACCCCTTCAACCATGCACAATATTCGAGTAGGAACAGTAGGGTCAACAGCATTCCCTAAAAATCTGAAGATGGGAAATGGAACAAAACCAACGCAAACCAAGAAAGATAAATTGACAACATTAAAGACTACAGAAAAACTTGATCAGAAATGTAACTGATGACATTATGAACTACCTGCGCATTTATGCAACTGCGTAATGGCAAATTCACCTACAGGGCCTGCCGCAGGGTGAATACCATTCTCATGAGACGATACAGGATCGGTAAGAATAGCCCTTAAGACTCTTCTAGACATGGTACGAACCCACGCCTTTTCGTGAACGGAAAATGTAGCAACATTAACCAACACACTCCTAAGGATTATTTTTATTAATAGAGTTAAAAAGTAAAAAGTCATCCCTGTAACAAAAAACAAAAGCGTTATTCATGTTACATACACTTTCACACGTTTATCAGTAATAAGGAGGTTTTAACTAAAGCATCATTCTATACCGAAATCAGTGTCAATAGTAATCTTTTAACCAATAAATTGTGAACTCTTAATGTGTAACAAGACCGCAATCATCAGTCTAAAATATTTTAACAACAGTAATAACATACTTTGTGCTGCTCTGCTGCCATACCGATGGTGGTTGAGATCTGAGAACAGTGCCAAGAACACTTAGGAGATTTTTTAAAACTGCTGCATCCTCAGAGTGTGACTGCTCGCACAGCTTTGAATATATGACCTTAAGTGAAAATAGCGTCTTCTAACGTTACTTCAAACAGAAAAGTTTCTGGGAAAGTATTATAAAACCTTTGCTCGGTACTAAAGTCATTCAAAAGTATTATTTAAAGCAGTGTTCGATAAAAGAAATTTTAAAGGATTCAATGAAAGTAGACTTCTGCCAGCATTTGAAGCCATCTGAGTTTGCCCAAAATTAAAACTACAAAAACCGTAATGAGATAAAAAATTTACTTTATCAGTTAGTGAACACCGTAAGGATGCTCCGGTTACAAACAATAAAATAAAATAAAAATAATTAAAAAATGAAAAAAAACTGGTAAGACAAAAGCGCATGCAGCACAATTTGAAATTAAAACTGCCCAACAATAATAAGTTACCGAAGCAAAATCTTATAGCGGAATAAGAACTCCGTGACTGGTAGTAAAATTATGAGTACAAGCGCTAACCTGTAGTGTTCTTCCAAAGTACTTTTGTAAGACCTCTTTTGAAACTTTCCTTACAACCAGCTTCAGAAGAAACGCAGTTGCGGCAAGGCGAGTAACTTGGTCAGGAGGAGCAGCATCTAATGCTGTTAAAAGGGCGGAAAAGTATTCGATATCGGTTTCCTCTCCATCTTCCTCCTTAATGATTTCTGTAACAGCAGCCAGCACAGCAACAACGTCCGCTTGTAATGTTGATCCAGATCTAAAGTATTTCAAAAAAGACATCTTTCAGTAAACAGTATATACCGTAGAAAAGAATAGGAAAATTTGGTCTATTTTTAACCTGTACTAAAAAACTTTAGGCGAAGCCCTGATGCAAACCTCTCGCCGCATCATAACAGCGACAAAATGGTTCGTTAAAAACATAATGTCGTGTCAAAGTTACCGTATATGAAGTCAACTTGATAGCTTGCTTTGCAAGAAAACCTTTTTAGCGGCTTTCATACCCTTTTGATAAATGTCAGATGCAGCTAACTAAAATTAGTACTGAAGGTGAATTATCACTGTAGCCCGGTGGTTTTGCTGCCTTTTCTTACCCTCTTTTGTGATCTGCTTCTTGGGTTCTTACACAAGCGATTTGAACAGAAATTTCGAGTTGCATGCTGCTGTCAAAATTCTATATCTACTCATAAAGACATAATTACCTAAGTTTGAGATGATGCATCGTTTCACTTGCAGATAAAGTACCTAAAATCAAAAGCGTGCCATTCACCTATCCCTATCACCTATCCCTAAATCACCTATCCCTAACTCACCTATCCCTAAATCACCTATCCCTAACTGGAACCTTTGCAGTGAAAAAATTTCAAACAGCTGTAACACAGTTAAACTCAACAGTTTCTATGCCAATGTAAAAAACTATATCAGGCGAGATAAACACCCATCATATAGGTAAAACCTTTTTGAAACTTGTACAAGTTTACAGCACGACTGCAGCAGCTTTCTAATTGCGCAAAAAAACTCCTATCACAGCATATAAAAAAACCCACCTCCATTTGCGATGCACGTTATCAAAAGTAGGGTTTGTACAGTTGGTAAAAGTAGTCAATTTACTCAAACCGCCTTCTGATGCCATACTTCTCGCTAATGAAAAGTGGGATTTTTCTTTGACTTCCTCATAGTCACCGATATGCATTGAATGCTAAAAAAATACGAAAGTATTAGTAAAAATGACCATAAAAACAAAAGGACGATACAAAATAAGATTTGATTAATAACCAATGGTAACTGCTTAAGTACTACGTCCTGGTCCCCACCAACTTCCGGCATTTCATCAACAGGTACCATTGGCGCTGTGTTAGCCAAACGAGCCGCATAGGCTGCAGCCCTGTGACGTTTTGAAGTCGGATTGCTTTCGCTACTAAAATCATTTCAATAATTGTTAGAAAAAAA